TTACTACAACACTGGACCATCTTACGTTGTTCGTGCACGACTCACAAGACTGGCTTGATCTTGGGATGGGAAGCTCGCCCTCACACCAGACTTGGCCCATTTGTTGCGGTCAACGCAGCCGCACCACGCGCTAGTTCAAAACTCTGGAAGGTGTGTGATAGCTCGTCAAGGGTGACCTGTTTGCCTCGAATCCAGCAAGTGTATTTCGCGAAGACACGCACACATTAACTGAGGGATGGCGCAAGTTTAAGGAATAAACTAGACAGTCTGCAATATTAAATCATACGCCTAACGGCATAGGAAAACCTGGACTTGTAAAAGGCGCACAGCATGATCTGATCGCACACCGGTTCCCTGACGTAAAAGACGCCAACAAACTCTCCTTTTCGGTTGTGACACAAATGACCGACAGATGATGAGTGGATTGAGTAACCGTCCAATTGTCTGGAATACTGAACGAAACTTGCCCTGACGCCGAGAAAGATGAAGAGGGGGAGGAAGAGGAGGAGGCATCGGTGTCGGCGTCACTGTTGCTGCTCGTGTCTCTGTCATCATCACCCTCCTCGTAGGGGAACACACGAGACCGGGTGGTCCAGAGGCACACCGGGAACGACTTTTTGCCCTCCTCGCCAGCTGGAACGTGTTTTGGATCGATGCCGTTGAAGGGCGTCGCCGTGTAGAGACCGAAGAGGCGCACGGGGAAGAATCCCAGGCGGGACGAGTGCTTGGCCAGGTCGTAGTAGTCGCTGTGCTCGGTGGCCACCTCAGCGACCTCGGCCGGACACAGGGAACGACTGTGCAGGATCTCCCCCGGCCACCAGCGCATTCCGAGCAGCGCGTCCACCGTGTCGAGGGGAGGGAAGGCGTGTTGGAGCAGCGCCAGGGAGGTCGTGAGCTCGTGCAGGCGGGAGGCGACTTTGTGGTGGAGGCGAGGGGGGAGACGCGCCCAGACAATTTCGCCGTACCGTGGCGCACGACCGTTCATGCAGTCCTCGCAGAGGAATTGCTCCGGGACCTAGTGGAAAGGCACGGGATTTAGATTTCGGGGTAGTCACATCCTCGGGGTGGCTTTAGTCGATTTCTGAAGCCGATGCAAGGCTAATTTAGACACTGCAAAAGGACGTCTGTGTGTGAAAATGAAAATCGGACCAAGTGTTCTGCTAGGCTGTTTTATCGTGGTAAATTAAGTCATTTTGAGTTAGGACAAATCTGTAATGATCGGATATGTGCTAATTCCTGTTAATCACGTGTGTACTCTTTGTATTGAGATGAAGGCAATCCAACTGTCGACAGCTTGAGGAGCAACGTGTGGTTGCGAAAACCTGAAGGGGTTCATTGCCAAGGTCCGACGGCCGATTTCTTCCATTGTCTTCACAACTTCGTGATTCCACGGGCGTCACAAGCGGAAAATTCGACCAAACGCGATTACATGTCAGCATCTACGATGAGAGATGGATCCTTCGAACGTCGGGATAATTTTGGAATCTGAGGCCGCAACGTCAGGGCTACGAACGTGTGACACTTGTGACTGGTTTTCTCTGATCCCCTCCAGCGCACAGCCGACACTAGTCGAACGCTAGGTGTTCCTTGGTGAAAGCAACTCAGAACGCAAGACACGATGTTCCGTCCAGACAACCCAGCTCTTGATGTGATGGTAATCGATTGCTGATAGTGTGGAAGATCCACTTTTCATCATCAGTGATGATCCGTTTCAAGAGGAATGCATTGAAATTCCACGAATTGACTGATTAACCAGTCCGCATGGTGTCTCCCTGTGTGGGCGTGTGAGGGATACGCTCAACAGCCCCTTTGCAGTCTCTCTCTAGGTCTCATTGGACTATGGCTTTGATGTGGTGAAAATCAATTTAAGTAGAGCTTCACGGACCTCCCACCACGGGCTCTTCATCATCACATGGAAAATCAAATGGCGACCGGGCAAGACAACACAAGCACACACACACACACACAAGTCGGTGAAAAGTTTGCCTCGTGGCTCGACAAAAATTAGTGTTGACGCGACTGATAAGAACACACATTAACTCGACACCCTCGCACACACACACACACACACCCCGCTGATAAGTTCAAACGCCGTCCCCCGCCCCGCTACGTCTTCCACCGAAACACACACACGCAGCAGACGATGCGGAGGGAGAGATCGCGGCAAAGCGATGACGCGGACCACATCAAAGTGCGAATGCGTGTTGCGCATCGAACGCATTTTTAAGTGGGGACGCGATTGTACAAGGCGGGGAGGGGTGGGGGGTGGGGGGGGGGACGGGCAGTTCAAAGCCCCCTGTGGGGTACGACGCGCAGTCCAAACAGGCGTAGTTGGACAGCACCGGTGGTGGCGGAGGTGGAGGGGGGGAGATAGTAGCAGGTGTGCGTAAGTTTATGACGGAAAACATTTTTTTTACCATCATGTGTGATTCCAAATTAAAACATGGAGGTTTTAATCAGCTCGCGCCGGCGGTCATCTTTGCCGCAGCGACAGTTTAATCAACCGCTACGCAGCCTGTCCGATACGCGCCCACTTCGATAATAGTCCTCACCAAACAGAGCCGACCGTCACCATTTTCCACAAGAATTCAAGCAGGCACGTGTCCATACGTTGACCTAGGTTGTGTTCGGATCCAACTTCCAAGTTGTTGAATTCCTCCCATTCGCAAGTGAGGTGCAAACTTCTGTTGCGTCTGCGTTGAGTCTTCATCCAGCTGAGCTTGTGATTCCGCATCTTCAAACTTTCGTGGCTGCTCTGCTGGTCACCAAGATCGAATTCGCCACTTCTAGAACGTTTGTAGCAATAATTACACGTTTCCTGAGACACACCGTCGGCACCAAGAACACTACAAATGGATTCGCGTGCGTTAAAAGCACTTTTTTTCTTGTTTGAATTCGTACAAAATGCAGTGCCATCGAATGTGCTGTTTACCGGTTGCCGTCGTAAACCTTGCCATATCCTGAGAGGTTATGTAATTCACGCAGACTCGTCGTTCGGTGTTCTGAAACCCCGCGTGTCATCCTTTCAAAATCACAAAAGACAAAGCCAGCGACGAAATCACCAGAAATGGTGTGTGTGTGAGCTAGAGAGAACCACAAGTTATACAAGAATTAACATCAGCGTCACGCAGGCCTCTCCAGCACGCCTCTCACCTTCCACGGAAGACAGAGAATCCTAATTTGTCCTGCTAGGAGCTATGACCTTAAATCGATTACCTTCATGAAAAAGGACTGCTGTAATCATCATGCGTCGCATCTTTTCAAGCGACGGATAGTGGCCTGCGAATCGAACCAAAGCCCAAATTGACGGATTTTGAACTTAATGCTTGGGGGAAGGAAAGCAGTGAACACGCAGGCACAGTGATTCCCACAGGTTTGTTTGATCCTGACAAGGCAATGGCAGGCCAAACGAAAAAAAACAAAAAAACGAAAACAGCAGTTCCAGCGGTGCTTAAATTCCGGGTGGAATCGCGGCACCGGATGTAGGAAAAAGATGGCAACGAGTGATATGGCTTCAATAGAAGTCGCACGGAGGGGGTGTTTGCCCAAGAGTCCCACCCGGTTAAAGCGAGAAATTGGAAACGAGCTAATCAGGCAGTGACTGCAAAATCGAACGGCGAAAAATCGCAATATTGAGGTATCTCCAGGCGCAGTCGGTGAACGAGGGAAACGCAACCACAAGAACGATAGCAGTTGCAGCGAAAAGGGATGCAGACCTCGTAGAAAAACACATGAGTCGGATCGCTTACAATTCATAAATCTGGCCAATAAAACGAATCTGCACGCCAAATGTTTCCCCAATTTTGCAGTTCTGACGTAAATGGATGTTACATTTGCCGATCCTGACACAAAATACCTTCAGCCGTGTTAGAATACTTGATTGCTGACATTACAGCATGTGTTGGCACTGAGATCCAGAGGAGGAGGAGGAGGAGGAGGAGGAGG